ATATAATAATATCGATTATTAGCGCAAAGGCCAGTAGTGCTTGCCGTAGTTTCTGTCGAAAGGGAGGCACTAATAAACATAGGACATGGAAATAACACAAGTGAACGCCGATCACGGAGTTCTTCACATTGAAATGTTGATACACGTGTACATAGATAGTCAGTTTCGTATCTGGAGTACTTTACTCGATAGACTTCGTCTGAACCATCAAGACAATCAGTACTTGCATTTCCATCACGAACAAATGCGGACGAAATACACTGGCTACCAAAGTGACAACGAAATTCATCTTCAAAACATTCATTTACTTCTAATATGTCGCATAATTGCTCATCTTCTCCATTGAGACAATCAAAATATCCGTCACAAATTTCATGCCAATCAAGACACATCGGTGATGGACCACGGTAACAGTCAGGTAAAAATGGATAACATGTATTCGAATAGACGTATACATCAGGTATACTACTAATATCATTATGGAATTGAAGAATTTTATTAAATGAAGGTAATACAACAGCAGACTCATATCTGTACTGGCATGTTGAACCAAACCATGGTAACGAACAATTGTAAAATATTTCAGTCGAATTTTGACCAATTTTTTCATATCGTTCGATCATGTCAACTGGTACTGACCATTTAAGTAATTCCATACTTGTTATACCTTGTCGATACAATTCAGCAAACGTCATATTATTTAAAATATTCTCATACGATATGGTAGAAAAATTTTCTTCCTCTTCAGTTCCATCAAGTCGTCGACAATAAGGAATTAAACTGTAATCATCAGTAGATAAGTGTTGTATCTGCTAATGGATCTCCTGAATAACCATATAAACAATCAAATGTTGCATTAAATCCATATCGATCATCAGAATAGTATACAGAATATTGACCATCAACAATTATAATAAAAGATGTGAGCAACACTAGTAGTGTTAGAAACTTCATTCTTAGCTGAACGACGCAGAATAAATGTGAAGACAAATAGCATGAAAGAAAGCAACGCCTTACCATATGTTAAAAAATTTATTCAAGTCAATAAAAGAAAATTTCATTTTTCTAAGTTGCT